CGGGGCCCAAACCGTTTAGGGCTTTGTAGGTAAGCACCTGCACCTTGAATTGGGACCGGAAAATGAACGGCAGCCAATGGAGCTCCTTAAACAGGAGGGTTGACCTCTCCCTGTAAGGAGCACCAGTTAACAACTTGGCAGCCGCCCGTTGGACCAATTGAAATTTCCGAGCCGTTTTCAAGGGCAACCCCACATAGAGTGCATTACAGTAGTCCAATCTAAGGCGTGGACCACCTTGGCCAGATCCGCCTTCACGAGGTACGGTCGCAGTTGGCGTACAAGTCTTAATTGTGCAAAGACCCTCCCGGCCACCGCCTGAGCTTCAAGCGTAAGTGATGAGTCTAAGAGGACACCCAAACTGCGGACCTGTGAATTCAGGGGGAGTGTAACCCTGTCCAGCACCAGTTGCCACCCTATACCCCGATCTGGTTTACGATCCACCAGGAGGACCTCTGTCTTGTTGGGATTGATCTTCAGCTTGTGTCCTCATCCAGACAGCCACAGCGGTCAGGCACTCGTCTAGCACTCGAGGGGCTTCCTTGGAATTCGGTGGAAAAGAGTAGTAGAGTTGTGTGTCATCTGCATAGAGATGGCACCCAACTCCAAAACTCCGGATGACCTCTCCCAGCGGTTTCATGTAGATGTTAAAAAGCATGGGAGACAGAATAGAGCCTTGCGGGACCCCACAGGTCAAAGGTCAGGGGTCCGAGCAGGCGTCTCCCAGCTTCACCAACTGGGATCGACCCTCCAGGAAGGACAGGAGCCACGATAGAACCACGCCCCCAAGGCCCATCCCGGAGAGTTGTCCCAGAAGGATACCATGATTGATGGTATTGAAAGCTGCTGAGATGTCGAGGAGAACCAGCAGGGTCACACTCCTCCTGTCCAGTTCTCTGCGGAGGTCATCCACCAAGGTGACCAAGGCCGTCTCGGTGCCGTGGCCAGGTCTGAAGCCAGACTGTGACTGGTCCAGGTAATTGATGTCATCCAGAAAACCCTGGAGCTGGGAGGCGACCACCTGCTCCAGGATCTTGCCCAAAAAAGGGAGGTTGGAGATAGGTCTGTAGTTGTTCAGCACCATGGAGTCAAGGGATGTCTTTTTCAGAAGTGCTTGAACCACAGCTTGTTTTAGCCGAGATGGGAAAATTCCCTGCTCCAACGATGCATTAATGATCAACACAAACCAATCAACCAACCCCTCCCTGGCTGATTTAATTAGCCAAGACGGGCAAGGGTCCAAAGCCAATGTGGTCACCCTCACAGCACCAAGGACCTCCTCCACGTCCCCAGGGTGAACAAGTGATAATAATTATTACTAGTATTATATTATATTACATTATAATATTATAATTATATACAATATACTATATTATATTATTAGTAAAGACAAGATGGAAATGTCTTCTGTTTCTGTTCTGTCTTCACTCTGGCCAGAAAGCAGAGGGAGTCTATTCTGAAAGCAGAGCATTTTCTTACAAGGTAGGAAAGATCCCAGGGAGGTGGCTTTGCTAACTGGCTGCCACGCGTTCTCCCACTCCCTTCCTGCTCGTGGTCATGCTGTGACACTCTGAATAATTTAGAGCCAATGACTCATCGTGGTATGCCGCCATCTATTCTGGATCGGGACTAGACAGTTACATGCTTGAAAGCAAAGCAAAGTCTGGTCAGATTTGGAACCTAGAAAGAAAACCTAAAGGAATGACAACAATTACAATGCTAAGTCAGGCAGGGAAAGAGAGTGCACGGAAATTGGGCTCCGGAACACTGCAAGGGGTTTCAATCTGTATACTTCTTGTGTTTGTGTACGTTGGCATTGCCTAGGCTGGACGAAATTATGGAAGAGAAAAGGTGTGAGAATTCCCACACAAATTAGTAATGGTTAAACGGTTTGGGCCCTACCTATCTCCGTGATCGCATCTCCTTCTATGAACCGACACGAGCTCTAAGATCTTCCAGAGAGGCCCTTCTCTCAGTCCCACTACCGTCTCAAGCGCGGTTGGTGGGGACGAGAGAGAGGGCCTTCTCAGTGGTGCCCCCCCCTCTCTGGAATGCCCTTCCAGGGAAATAAGACAGGCCCCATCCCTCCCCTCCTCTGCGATCGCATCTCCTTCTATGAACTGGCGCGAGCTCTAAGATCTTCTGGGGAGGCCCTCCTCTCGGTCCCACTACCGTCTCAAGCGCGGTTGGTGGGGACGAGAGAGAGGGCCTTCTCAGTGGTGGCCCCAAGTCATGACCTATAAAGCCCTAAACGGTTCGGGCCCTGCCTATCTCCGCGATCACATCTCCTTCTATGAACCGGCACGAGCTCTAAGATCTTCCGGGGAGGCCCTCCTCTCGGTCCCACTACCGTCTCAAGCATGGTTGGTGGGGACGAGAGAGAGGGCCTTCTCAGTGGTGGCCCCCCGTCTCTGGAACGCCCTTCCAAGGGAAATAAGAACAGGCCCCATCCCTCCCCGCCTATCTCTGTGATCGCATCTCCTTCTATGAACCGGCATGAGCTCTAAGATCTTCCGGGGAGGCCCTCCTCTCGGTCCCACTACCGTCTCAAGCACGGTTGGTGGGGACGAGAGAAAGGGAAACTGTTTTGAATTGTATGTGCCTCCCCTCTCTTTCTTCTCCTATATACGTAGTTTGCTGCTTCTCATACTTCACCATCATTCTGAAAAGAAAGCAATCAAAACTGACATATTTTGCCTCTCTGGGAGGCTGTTCTCCACCCGTGAGCGTCATGCAAAACCTACCCTTCACTGTCTAGTACATCCTTAATGCTAGCCTTGGTGATGATGGCATCGTCACATTTGAACCACTGGTCCTTGTGTTGCCGGATGAAGCTGGTATAGTGCCCGCTCTCCAGGGTTCCCTGGTGATTAACTACTGCAAACAAGGAATACCTGGCGGGAGGAGAAACGGAGAAAGAGCAGTTAGGTCAAGGGACAAGGCCTCAGACAGTGGAAGGAATGCCTTTTCAGTCTTAATACGTTTGTCCCTCAGCAAGGACATCTCCACATTGGCAACTCCAGAAGTTCAGGCCTTTAGGAATTACCAGTAGCATTTTGAGAAACCAAAGTTCTGAGTGCCTTTTTTAGGGAAAAAAAGCAGGGTACAAATAATAAGAATAGTAAGAAAAATGAGGATTTAAAGATCGAACTGCAAACTCTGGCACAAGCCAGTCAAGGGGGTCCCAGTGGTGATTGGCACACTGGGTGCAGTGCCTCAAGACCTTGGCCTGCACTTAAACACAATCAGCGCTGACAAAATTACCATCGGCCAGCCCAAGGTGCTTGTTTATAAAGTCATTGTCCTCCCAACCCTGCTGTGGCAGCCACCTCTCCACAAAATCAACATTGACACTGAATTACATCACCGCCTGAGCTCTGCGAGTGCAGCATTTTTCCGAATGAAGCAGAGAGTGTTTGAGGACCGGGACATCCGTAGGGATACCAAGGTGCTTGTTGATAAAGCTATTGCCCTCCCAACCCTGCTATATGCCTGCAAGACATGGACTGTCCACAGATATCACATGCAACTCCTGGAACGATTCCATCAGTGCTGCCTCCGGAAAATCCTGCAAATCTCTTGGGAAGACAAGCGGAAATGTCAGCGTGCTGGAAGAAGCAAAGACCACCAGCATTGAAGCGATGGTCCTCCGCCATCAACTCCGCTGGACCGGCCATGTTGTCCGGATGCCCGACCACCGTCTCCCAAAGCAGTTGCTCTACTCCAAATTCAAAAATGGAAAATGGAATGTTGGAGGACAGGAAAAGCAATTGAAAGATGGGCTCAAAGCCAACCTTTAAAACTCTGGCAAAGACACTGAGAACTGGGAAGCCCTTGAGCGCTCCAGCTGGAGGTCAGCTGTGACCAGCAGTGCTGTAGAATTTGAAGAGGCACGAATGGAGGGTGAAAGAGAGAAATTGCCAAGAGGAAGGCGCGTCAAGCCAACCCAGCCTGACTGGGACCCTTTCCGTCTGGAAACCAATGCCCTCACTGCGGGAGAAGCCGGTCAAGAATAGGGCTCCACAGCCACCTATGGACCCACCCTGGAGGATTATCCTACTCGGACAATGAGGGATCACCTAAGTAAGTAAGTCTGATTCCTGGAAGAGTTCTTCGGAAGGCCCACCTTGCTGGTAACTCTTTTGCAAAGAAAAACTGAAATGTTTCATACTCTTTTCTCAAAGCGCCCACCTTCTTCCTGTACGAGTGGAACGGAGCTAAAACGAGTGCCACAAATTTCTGGGTAAACACGGAATGCGCTTCGTTTGACAAAAGGCAAGTGTTATGTCCCGGGTTTGGGCTTCTCCCGCACAAACACCTGCTCCTCCTGCTGCCATCTACCTATTTGCAGCTCTTTCTGTTTGCACTGCTTTTATTAGTCCTTTAAATCTGGGACGAGCATTTTCAAATGGCTGTTCAAATAGATCCAAGCTGGAAGGTGTTCAAGACATCAACCAGAGATGAAGAATGCCCTCCTCAGCTTGGCACTCTCTCCACCATCGCCATTGACCGTCGGTCGTATTGATGAAACTTGCAGTCCAAAATACGAGGACGCGTCACAATGCCTCCATCGCTCTAACTTCTCTTCCTTTCCCAGCTACCTGGACTATATGCATGATAGGAAAGAGCTCATTTTACTCTATTGATATAATAGTCTTGGTCATATTGACTGATTAGAACCATGAATCTGAAGCTGAAAGAAAAAGTTGTCATTGAATTTCTGGCAAAAGAAGGCTGTGCATTACGGAAATCCATCATCGTATGTTTATGGGGATGCTATAATGGACATCAGCAATGTGCGGTGTTGGGTGAAGAAGTTTGAAAGTTTCAGAGTCCATGACTTGAATAACTTTAATACCTTTGAGATGGTTGAACAGCAGCTCTCCGAAGCTCTAGGTGCCCTTTAAAAACTCTGGCATAGACACTGAGAACTGGGAAGCTCTGGCCCTTGAGCGCTCCAGCTGGAGGTCAGCTGTGACCAGCAGTGCTGCAGAATTTGAGGAGGGACGAGTGGAGGGTGAAAAAGAGAAACGTGCCAAGAGGAAGGCGCGTCAAGCCAACCCCGGCCGAGACCGCCTTCCACCTGGAAACCAATGCCCTCACTGCGGAAGAAGATGCAGAGCAAGAATAGGGCTCCACAGCCACATACGGACCCACCAGAATATTGGAAGACAATCATCCTCGGAAAGCGAGGGATCGCCTAAGTAAGTAAAGTAAGTAAGGTGCCCTTTCTGCCTATTACAGGGAAAATCAGCTGATCCCTAATCCATCCAAAACACAGACATGTGCCTTTCACCTTAAGAACAGACAAGCATCCCAAGCTCTGAGGATTATTACCTGGGAAGGAATCCCACTGGAGCATTGCAGCGCACCCAAATACCTGGGAGTCACTCTGGACCGTGCTCTGACCTACAAGAAGCACTGCCTGAATATCAAGCAAAAAGTGGGTGCTAGAAACAATATCATACGAAAGCTGACTGGCACAACCTGGGGATCACAACCAGACACAGTGAAGACATCTGCCCTTGCGCTATGCTACTCTGCTGCTGAGTATGCATGCCCAGTGTGGAACACATCTCACCACGCTCAAACAGTGGATGTGGCTCTTAATGAGACATGCTGCATTATCACGGGGTGTCTGTGCCCTACACCACTGGAGAAATTACACTGCTTAGCCAGTATTGCACCACCTGACATCCGCCAGGAAGTAGCAGCCAATAGTGAAAGGACCAAGGCAGAGACATCTCCAGCTCATCCCCTGTTTGGGTATCAGCCAGCACGTCAATGACTTAAATCAAGAAATAGTTTTCTAAGATCTACAGAGACACTCCCTGGAACACCTCAGCAAGCGAGAGTCCAAAAGTGGCAGGCTCAAACCCAGAACCTCAACCAATGGCTGATACCAAATGAGAGACTCCCCCCTGGGCACACAGAAGACTGGGCGACTTGGAAGGCGCTGAACAGACTGCGCTCTGGCACCACGAGATGCAGAGCCAACCTCAAGAAATGGGGCTACAAAGAGGAGTCAACGACACACGAGTGTGGAGAAGAGCAAACCACTGACCACCTGCTGCAAATGCACTCCAAGCCCTGCCACATGATGCACAATGGAGGACCTTCTTGCAGCAACACCAGAAGCACTCCAAGTGGCCAGATACTGGTCAAAGGATGCCAAGTTTGCAAAGGTCCCAGTGGTGATGGGTACACTGGGTGCAGTGCCTCAAGACCTTGGCCTGCACTTAAACACAATCGGCGCTGACAAAATTACCATCTGCCAGCTGCAGAAGGCCACCTTACTGGGATCTGCACGCATTATTCGCCGATACATCACACAGTCCTAGACACTTGGGAAGTGTCCGACGTGTGATCCAAGACAACAGCCAGCAGAGTGATCTTGTCTGCTGTGGACTCATCTTGTTGTGTTTCAAATACTACTACTACTACTAATAATAATAATAATAATAATAATAATAATAATAATAATAATAGAAAGAAGGAGGAGAAGGAGGAGAAGGAGGAGAAGGAGAAGAAAGAGGAGAAGAAGAAGATTGGGACACCTCCTGCAACATTAGCAAAATCTCGCTCAAAGCAATGCAGCTGTAGTTTTCCAAGATCTTTTGCCCTCTCTGGACATCTTTCTCCCACTCTGGACATTATTCCACAGGCATATAAACCCCATTTTCCTAGTTTCTAACAGACCTCACAACTGGAGGATGCCTGCCATAGATGTGGGCGAAACGTCAGGAGAGAATGCTTCTGGAACAGGGCCATACAGCCCGGAAAACTCACAGTAACCCTATATATGCTTTTCATGCTCACATACAGAGCTCCACAGATCTCCAGTGCACACTGCAGAATTGATTCTACCTGAGCAAAAAGAAGAAGAATGGCGGATTGCAGCAATACTTACTTATTATCGTTGTTTAGACTATCTGCTGGCTGCTGATACTGCCCATTCATTCTGCTCTCTTTACTGCAAGAAAAAGACAAAACAGGCACACACACACATACGTTTAGTGCCTTTTGAAAAAATTAAGCATTATAAAGATGTGCTTCTTATATACCAAGAACTCATTTCTGATCAGACACAAACACAGTTAAGATTGGCAGCTTGTTTGTGGGGCCTTCCTGGTGTTGTTGCACCCACAGCGCTCGCAAACGGAGGATCAGACCCATCGGAGTCTAAGGCTCAACAGGTTTCCCATGTTCTTTTAGTTTTGAATATGTTTTCATGGATTTCAACTGTGAATTTTAATACTTTTGTGTTTAATTCTGTTTTAATGTTTGCATATTTGCATATTTTAAATGATGTGGTCATGCTTTTAATGGTAAGCCGCTTTGAGTCTCCTTTGGGAGAGATAAAGTGGGGTATAAATAAACATAATAATAATAAACATAATAATAATAAACATAATAATAATAAACATAATAATAATATGTTTATTTATACTCCACTTTCTACCCCCTGAAGAGATATAAAGATTATTATTATTATTATTATTATTATTATTATTTGCATATTTTAAATACTTTTAATTGTAAGGCACTATGAGTCTCCTTTGGGAGAGATAAAGTGGAGCATAAATAAACAATAATAATAATAATGTTTGCATATTTGCATATTTTAACTGATGTGATCATACTTTTAATTGTAAGCCACTTTGAGTCTCCTTTGGGAGAGATAAAGTGGGGTATAAATAAACATAATAATAATAATATGTGTATTTATACTCCACTTTATATCTCCTGAAGAGATATAAAGTTTATATTCCGGCATATAAGACGACTGGGCGTATAAGACGACCCCCAACTTTTCCAGTTAAAATATAGAGTTAAGACGACTCCCATGCATAAGACTACACCGCGTATAAGACGACCCCTGACTTTTGAGAAGATTTTCTTGGGTTAAAAAGTAGTCTTATACGCCAGAATATACTGTATTATTATTATTAAATAACAATAATATGTTTATTTCTACCCCACTTTAGATCTCCCGAAGAGATATAAAGTTTATTATTATTATTATTATTATTATTATTATTTGCATATTTTAAATGATGTGGTCATACTTTTAATTGTAAGCCACTTATTATTATTATTATTATTATTATTATTAATAATAATAATAATAATAATAATATGTTATGTATTGTCGAAGGCTTTCATGGCCGGAATCACTGGGTTGTTGTAGGTTTTTTCGGGCTATATGGCCATGGTCTAGAGGCATTCTCTCCTGATGTTTCGCCTGCATCTACCTCTGAGGATGCTTACCATAGATGCAGGCGAAACGTCAGGAGAGAAAGCCTCTAAACCATGGCCATATAGCCCAAAAAATCTACAACAACCCAATAATAATATATTTATTTATACTCCACTTGATATCTCCTGAAGAGATATAAAGTTTTATTATTATTATTATTATTAAATAATAATAATAATAATAAATTTATTTATGTTTATACCTCCTGAAGAGATCTAAAGTTGATTGTTGTTGTTGTTGTTGTTGTTGTTGTTGTTGTTGTTATTATTATTATTATTATTATTATTATTATTATTATTATTATGATGTTTTGTCCCACCATAGACCAAAATTGGCTCCTGTTTCTCTTCCCTGGCTGGAAAGTCACATCCTGAAAAGCAGTCCTGGCTAATTTACACTTTTTTGATGCCTTCCTTTGTGGCCGAGAGGTAAAAACAATGCCGCAAGATGGTCAATGGCTGGCGGCGGCCATTGCAAAAGTTCCTGCTGGTTACCCAAGGACAAAGGCGCCCTAGATCGGATGCTTTGTTATGGGCCTGCTCCCCAGGAAGCCTTTTGTGCGGAGATCACCCATGACAGATTTCATAACCATCTTAGACTAAGGGCCCTTCGACATAAATCCCGAAGCTGAAAGGAAGGGGAAATTAATCCAATTTCTGCCTGAAAAGAAAGCCTTAATTGCATTAGCCTCCTTGATGCTGCTGAATCATTCCTGCTCTTTTTCATTCACGTATTTTATGTTTTCGAGGATGGCAATTAGGTTACTCTCAGCTTCACAGGTTCCTGGAAAGGACGGCAAGCCGTCTTGCAACAGCAACAACCACCAGCCAAATATTTATGTCGCTGGGACAATACTAGTCGAATTAAGATTATAAACATTACTGTGACAAAGTAGTAGTCGCCACATTCATTAATCACCTTCCTTTGGGCATTTTACACATGTATAAAAAAACAACAATACAAATCTATACACATGCATATATACATGAAGCAGTGCAATATTTCCTACATGTATACAATACTTCCCTCCTCCCACCCCTCCTGTTGTAAGTGACTTCCCATCCTTTGGGTTTGAGCAGGCATGGGCAAACTTTGGCCCTCCAGGTGTTTTGGATTTCAAGTCCCACAATACCTTCAGTATGTGGACAACTTCCTTCAGTACATGGATGACATACTCATGGCACAGGTATGGGCCACCAGGTGTTTTGGACTTCCACAATTCCTTCAGTATGTGGATTACATACTCATGGCACAGGTATGGGCCAACTTGGGCCCACCAGGTATTTTGGACATCAACTCCCACAATTCCTTCAGTAGGTGGACAACATCCTTCAGTATGTGGATGACATACTCATAGCACATGCATGGGTCAAGTTGGGTTCTCCAGATATTTTGGACGTTGACTCCCTCAGTTCCTTCAGTACATGGATCACATCCTTCAGGATGTGGATGACATACTCATGGCACAGGCATGGGCCAACTTGGGCCCACCAGGTGTTTTGGACTTCAACTCCCACAATTCCTTCAGTACGTGGATAACATCCTTCAGTATGTGGATGACATACTCATGGTACAAGTATGGACCAACTTGGGCCCACCAGGTGTATTTGGACTTCAACTCTCACAATTCCTTCAGTACGTGGACAACATCCTTCAGTATGTGGATGACATACTCATGGTACAAGTATGGACCAACTTGGGCCCACCAGGTGTATTTGGACTTCAACTCTCACAATTCCTTCAGTACGTGGACAACATCCTTCAGTATGTGGATGACATACTCATGGTACAGATATGGGCCAACTTGGGCCCACCAGGTGTTTTGGACTTCAACTCCCACAATTCCTTCAGTAGGTGGACAACATCCTTCAGTATGTGGATGACATACTCATGGCACAAGCATGGGTCAACTTGGGCCCGCCAGGTGTTTTGGACTTCAACTCCCACAATTCCTTCAGTAGATGGACAACATCCTTCAGTATGTGGATGACATACTCATGGCACAAGCATGGGCCAACTTGGGCCCGCCAGGTGTTTTGGACTTCAACTCCCACAATTCCTTCAGTATGTGGATAACATACTCATAGCACAGGTATGGGTCAAGTTGGGTTCTCCAGATATTTTGGACGTTGACTCCCTCGGTTCTTTCAGTACATAGATCACATCCTTCAGGATGTGGATGACATACCTATAGCACAAGTATGGGCCAACTTGGGCCTGCCAGGTGTTTTGGACTTCAACTCCCACAATTCCTTCAGTATGTGGATAACATACTCATAGCACAAGCATGGGCCAACTTGGGCCCAGCAGCTGTTTTGGACTTCAACTCCCACAGTTCCTTCAGTACGTGGAAAACATCCTTCAGTATGTGGATGACCTTCAGTATGTGGATGACATTTTTTCTGAGATTATGTTGATGTTAATGTAAAAAGCCACCCATTTCTTTTTTCTTTTGTGACTGCAATGTATTCCTTTCCCATTTTAGGATAAGTGGTGAGAACCCAGAGGGTGGTTCTCCCCATTGTTTCCTCCTCGTCTTCCTGGAAAGAAGGGAGGAGTGGACTGCCATCAGGAGGGTTCCCATCCTGGTCCTGGTCCTGCTCAGGATGTTCATTAATGACTTAGATGAAGGGTTAGAAGGCAGGATCATCAAGTTTGCAAGAGGGACCAAATGGGGAGGGAGAGCCAAGACTCCAGAAGACAGGAGCAGAATTCAAAACCACCTTCACAGATGAAAGAGATGATGGGCCAAAACTAACACAATGAAGTTCCACAGGGACAAATGCAAGAGACTCCACTTAGGCAGAAAAATTGGGAAATGCAGAAAGACAAAATTGGGGACGATGCCTGGCTCGAGAGCAGGACGTGTGGAAAAGATCTTGGAGTCCTCGTGGGGAGGAAGGGGAACAGGAGCCAGGAATGTCATGCAGCGGCTTAAAAAGCCAATGGAATTTTGTCCTGCATCAAGAGGAACCTAGTGCCTAGATCCAAGGAAGTCATGCTACCCTTCTCTTCTATTCTGCCTTGGTTAGACCACTTTACCTGGAATCACCATGTGTCCAATTCTGACCACCACAATTGAAGGGAGATGTTGACTCTAAGCTGGAATGTGTCCAAGGGAGGGCGACTCAAAAGATCAAGGGTCTGGAGAACAAGCCCTATGAGGAGCGGCTGAAAGAGCTGGGCATGTTTAGTCTGAAGAAGAGAAGGCTGAGGGGAGTCATGATGAGGGCCATGTATAAATATGTGAGGGGAATCTAGTGCTTAGATCCAGGGAAGTCATACTCCCCATGCTCTATTCTGCATTGGTCAGACCTGGAATCATACTGTGTCCACTTCTGGGCACCACAATTGAAGGGAGATGTTGACTCTAAGCTGGAATGTGTCCAGAGGAGGGCAACTCAAATTATCAAGCGTCTGGAGAACAAGCCCTATGAGGAGCGGCTTAAAGAGCTGGGCATGTTTAGCCTGAAGAAGAGAAGGCTGAGAGGAGACATGATAGCCATGTATAAATATGTGAGAGGAAGTCCTAGGGAGGAGGGAGCAGACTTCCTAAAAAGAATCAATTCTGTGCACCACAATCGATGGGAGATGTTGACTCTAAGCTGGAATGTGTCCAGAGGAGGGCAACTCAAATGATCAAGCGTCTGGAGAACAAGCCCTATGAGGAGCGGCTTAAAGAGCTGGGCATGGAAAGGAAGGAGATTCCACCTGAACGTTTGGAAGAGCTTTCTAACTGTGAGAGAGAGCTGTTCAGCAGTGGAACTCTCTCCCTCAGGTGCCCTTGAGCAAAGAAAGGAGATGCCACCTGAACATGACCCCTTTGAGTCCCCCCAGGGGTAAGAGAAGCAGTATATAAATACTGTAAATAAATAAACATTAGGAAGATAGTGAGAGCTGTTCAGCAGTGGAACCTTCTGCCCCAAAGTGTGGTGGAGGCCCCTTCTTTGGAGGCTTTGAAGCAGAAGCTGGATGGCCATCTATGGGGAGGGCTTTGAATGTGATTTTCCTGCTTCTCGGCAGAATGGGGTTGGACTGGATGGCCCACAAAGTCTCTTCCAACTCTAGGATTCTAGGTAACAATCTTCTATCTCTCTATTTTATGTGAGTCTCCTGCAAACAAAATACATCACGTTTATCCTTACCCAAGCGATGGAAGATTCTTCTTCGTTTTTGAAGAGTGTCCAGACCTTTGATATTCCAGAAGACACAGTTCAGTTCCAAGTTTACTCTCAGGGGATTATATTACCTTTGCTTCTTCTTTTTCTCTCTCACTATACGTTTTTATCCCATTGTTTTCCTCCCCCCTTTTTTTAACATACATTTACATCTTATACATTTCCAACTCTATTCACTAGACTGAACAACCAGTGAATTTTGGAAGAGGAAAAGAAACATTTCCTTCAGATTACTCCTTTTAGCAAATGACATCAAAGGAAACATAAGATGATTCGTTTAGCCAAATATTAACCAGGTGCAAATTTAAACTATTAACTACTAAATTAGACATAGTTAATTAAATGGTAAATTAAACTATTTAACTATTAAACTATATTTTAAAACTATTTTTAAACTATTTTTAAACTATTTTAAACTATTTTAAAACTATTTTAAACTATTTGAACAAACATTACACCTTAAAGAGAGTGTGGAACTCAACTTGTTTGTTGTCAGCCCAAGAGTGCTTTCACTTAATTAAGTTTATTTTATTTTATTTTATTTATTTATTGTATTTGTATACAGTTTTGGAATCAGTTTAAATTTAACCATTTTTAAAAACCAAACTCTGATACTAAATGATATCATAACTTGCTTCCGTCCAGAAAACGAAGTGTGCTGACTTCTTTTTTTGCTGTTAGCTTAATGTAACTGGCTCCCAAATGGATCCGTATCCTAAAGGGAATCGTTTCCCACAAGAACAACTCTTTCCACATACCTGGAAGCCATAAATGGTGTCATGTCCAACTCCAATGGAAAGGAGACATATGTAGTAATCTTTCGCCTCAGTTTGGCTGAGTGTTCAAACCGCTAGAAGAGAGCAAAGAGGGTTTTTTTTAGACAAAATAATTAATAATAATAATAATAATAATAATAATAATAATAATAATAATGGACTTTCGAATCCAGACTGACAAAGTTTTGGAACACAATACAACAGACATCACGATTGTGGAAAAGAAAAAAAGTTTGGATTATTGATGTCACCATTCCGGGTGACAGTCGCATTGAGGAAAAACAACAGGAGAAACTCAGCCACTATCAAGACCTCAAAATCGAACGGCAAAGGCTCTGATTGCATAAACCAGTCCAGGTGGTCCCAGTGGTCATTGGTGCACTGGGTGCC